TCCAAATTAATCCTATAGATTCAAATGTCAAAAAAAAAAAGAAAGAAAAAGAAAATTACACCGTAACAAAGTTTTAATTAACTATATTAAATTTTAAAAAAAGGAAAATAATTTAATCAGATACAAATTTAATAATGTAGTTGTATATATGAGGCATTCCATGTCAAGTGATCCAGGTGTCTTACGGTGTAATGCTTATTTCGATAATTTTTTACTCTTAAACTATTAAACATAAAAATTTGGCAAGGTACATTTTGGAAAGGTGTTTTCATGCTCTTTCGATTGAAAATAAGCATTTAAAAAAAAAAAAATTTTTTGACCCAAAAAAATCAAAATTAAAAATAAATTTTAATTTTTTGGAAAAAAGGTCCCATTTTTTTTTTTATTTTTTTTTTTAAACGAAAGCTGAGGTTTTTTCCTAAAAGGACATATAAATGAAAAAGTGGGACAAGAATGTTTAAACATTGAAAAACAGAGGTTTCTACTCTCTAAACCCGGTTTTTAGCTCTGTTTACGAGAAAATTCATTTTTTCAATGTTTAAACATTCTTGTCCCACTTTTTCATTTATATGTCCTTTTAGGAAAAAACCTCAGCTTTCGTTTAAAAAAAAAAAAAAAAAAAAAAATGGGACCTTTTTTCCAAAAAATTAAAATTTATTTTTAATTTTGATTTTTTTGGGTCAAAAAAATTTTTTTTTTTAAATGCTTATATTCAATCAAAAGAGCATGAAAAAACCTTTCCAAAATGTACCTTGCCAAATTTTTATGTTTAATAGTTTAAGAGTAAAAAATTATCGAAATAAGCATTGTACTGAAAAACCCAAAAATTTAACCCCCTCCCCCTCGGAAAATATTGGACTAGGTAAAAAAATATTTTCACGAAAAATTACTATCTATTAGTACTACAAAAGCCCCAAGTTTTGCTACGATTGGAGAAAAATTTTTCTCCACCCGGATCACTTGACATGGAATGCCTCATATATGGCTTTTACGACTTTGCACGACAACCACATAAACATGAAATTGTAAAAAATTCCGTTAAAGATTAAATAATAAAAAAGAATTCAATCGAATTTTTAATAAGCTTTTTACTTCGTCAAATTATTATTTGTTAATTTTAATTTCAATTTTAATTTTAATTAATTAATTAAAATGATAGTGAAAATAATAATTATTAATTTTTCTTTCTCTGAAAAAATATTTGAGTCAAATAGCCAAATACTTGTCTATTATCAAATAAATATTTACCTGAATTAAATGAATTTTATTAAAATTATATTTGAATTTGTATTTTGAAACAATATTATCAGTATTTGAAGCAAATACCATTCAATTGACTGAAATAAAAATTATTTAGTTCAAGTAAATATTTATTTAATAATAGACAATTAATCGCGGTTATTTGAATAAAAGAAATATTTTTTCAAAGTTCAAAAGAAATTATTTAAAAAGAAATTGCAAATTCATTACGATTGATTGCAAATGATTGCATTTTGGTAAATATAATAAATTAGTTACTTTCTTTATATTAGTATTGGAATAATTTTAGTAACAAAAGTTTTTCTTTGCATAAAAAGACACTTTGAACTTAAAGTTACACTAAATAAAAAATTTTATTTCAATAAATCTGTTCCTCGTCAATTAAATACAAACTTTGAGTTTGAGTTTTTAATTAATCTGGTAAATTTACTTTTTATAATTTTTTTTAAACAGTTTTTCTGTTAAATTTAAAAAAAAATATTAATAATAATAAATAAAATAAATAAAATAATAATATTAAAATAATAATAATAAAATAATAATAAAATAAATAATATTAATAATAAATAATAATAAAAATAATAATACATTTAAATAAATAATAAATAATAAATTATAATATTTTGATAAACAAAATTTGAGCAGCTTCTTTCTTTTTAAATTATCATATTTAAAAATTATCATATTTGAAAAATAGTATAATATGTACTTCTTTGAAAATTTCTATACGTCAAAGATGCGAGAAACCTGTTTCTCAAGAAAATAAGCTCTATGATTTATTCAAAGCGTATCACTTTTTAAAATTTTTTGAGACGAAATTTCATAAAATATTTATAAAAGAAAGAAGGTTGTTTCTTCAAAAGAAACAATGCTTGTTTATTTTTAAATTTTTCTAAATAATTAATTAATATTTTTTTTTTATAAAAATCGGACAGATCGAGTTATTCTTTTTTTCTTTTTAAAATAATATTTTTTCTCTAAGAGATAAAAAAATAACTAATTAATAGTTAATAATTACTAATTATTAGTAAATAAATAACTACAAAAATAGTCAAAATTTCACTAATTTTTTTCATTATTTTCCTAATTAAATTACATTCAAAACTTGAATAATTTTTGTTAAATAAATATTTAAATATTTTTTTATTTTTTCACAGACATTAAAATATTTCAAATAAATAATTAAATATTACTTAAAATTGAATTTTTATAAAGAATTTTTCAAAATTTTTTACAATAAAATTGAATTCTTTCAAAGAATTTTAATAAAATTTAAAAAAATAATTGCATTTTTCGGGAATTTATTTCAAATAATATTAAAAATAATTTAAATTCTGCAATAATTTTTATTATTTATTAAGATATTTAAATTCTTACGAAGATTTTTACAAAAAATGTTCAAATAATTGAATATTGTTTGAAAATTTTATGAAAATAGTAGATATTAAAATTCATTGAATTACAAAAAGTTTTTAAAAATAATTAAATTTTACAAAGAATTCAATTAAAATTTTTTACAATAATTGAATTCTTGCGAAAGATTTTATTAGAATTTTTTTAAATAATTGAATTAACAAGAAGAAATTTATTACTTTTAAAAATAGTTGAATTCTTGTGATAAATATTGTTATTTTCTGAAAATAATTGAATTTTGCAAAGAATTTTATTAAAAAGCCTCAAAACAATTGAATTTTCGTGAATAATTTTGTTATTTATCGACATAATTGAATTCTATAGAAGAATTATTTATGTAAATAATTGAATTGTTGGGAAGAATTTTATTAAAATCTAAAAGAATAATAATTGAATTAATGCAAAAAAAAAATTTAATTAAAATTAAAATATTTGAAAATAATTGAATTCCTGTGAAAAATTCGAATATTTTTGTAAATAATTGAATTCTTTTAAAGAATTTAAAAAAAACATTTTTTTAAATAATTGATTTTTTCGAGGAATTGAAATTAAATTTTTAAGAATATTTAAATTTTTTGAGTAATTCCTGTAAAACTATATTAAAAATAATTGAATAGTTGCTAAGAATTTTATTAAAATTTTCAAAAATAATTGAATTCCTGAGATGAATTTTATTATTTATGAAAATAATTGAATTATTGCGAAAAATTTTATTAAAATGTTTAAAAAGAATTGAACTTCTGTAAAAAGTTTTGTTATTTTTGAAAATAATTGAATTTTTATAAGAATTTTATAAACATTGTTTTAAATAATTAATTTTTTTGAAATATAATAAATGAAAACTTTATGAAAAAATGACAACTTTATTTTGAATAATTCAATTCTTGTGGAAAACTTTATTTATAAAAATAATTGAATTTTTTAATTTAATAGTTTAAAATTGTATTAAAAATAATTGAAATTCTTCGATGAGTTTTATTATTTATAAGAATAATTGAATTCTTCAAATTTTTTCGACGAATTGAATTCAAATTTTATTAAAAGAATTGAATTTCTGTGAATTGCATGTAAATTTTTGAAAATTGCAAATATGTAATTGAATTTTTTAAAAATTTTTTATTAAAATTGCACTGTAAATAATTGAATTTCTGCAAAGAATGTTATAAAAGTTTTGTTAAAAAATTAATTTTTTTTTTAATTTAATGAAAATTGTGTTTTAAATAATTAAATTCCTGTATAAATTTTATTATTTATGAAAATAATTGAATGCTTGCGAATTATTTTATTAAAATTTCTTTTAAATTCAATTATTTAGGAGAATTTTTTTGGGAAATTTTATTAAAATTCTTTTGAATTTATTTATTTAGAAAGAATTTTTTTAGGAAATTTTATTAAAATTCTTTTGAATTCATTTATTTAGGGGAATTTTTTTTAGAAATTTTATTTAAATTCTTCAGAATAATTTCTTTATTTCAACTTTCAGCGAATTTAAAGTTTTGAAAATTCTCAAAAGAAGAAAAAAGGTGCTTTTAGTGTCACAAATCTAAGAAAAAAAGTAGCAAATGGTAAAAAAAAAATAGTAAATATTTAATTTTAGTAGATAAGTACCTAAGAAGGTTGCCTAAGAAGCAACAAGTTTTAGGTTATGTTTATAATTTTTGAAATAAAAATTAAGAAAGAGAATCAATAATTATTAAAAATTAAGAATCTTCAGCAATTTATTATATCAAAAATATTCCAAAAAAACTGATTTCTTAAATAATAAAAAAGAAACTTCTAATCACGATAAATCGAACACAAACATAACCTAAAATTCCTTATTCCAAAATATGCGCTGTATATAAAGTAATTTCGTATTTACTTTATTTCGTACAACTTAATTTCGTATTATATATAGTAATTTCGTTCCTAATTTCGTAATAAATTTTTTTCCAGTGCAGATATTTGTCTGTGCATTGAAATAAAAAACAAAACAAAACAAAAAAAATTTGAAATAGAAAAATAAATTAAAAAACGAAATTAAAGCATCTCGACTGACTAAAATCACGATTCGTAGAACATTGACCCGATCGCGAGTAATACTTTTTCTTTCCGTTTCTAGAACTTGACAGTCTTTCAATTACTTTTCCTTAATTAAATTTTTTTCCCCGAGACCTTAGGACGGGGTTTTCTTTTCCCTTGAAAAGCTTCAAATTCGTGTGCTTGTCAATAAGATGCCGCAGGGGAATTTCTCATATTGGAAAAGTAGCGTTGCCCGCCCCTCTATTTCTTTTAGAAATTATATTCGAAATTAAATGAGAAGAAGAAGAAGAAGAAGAAAAACTCACGTGAACTCCGCGTCGATGTAACAGTTTCCCGAGAATGAACAGTCCTTGACAGTGCAGCTATTCTCATTGATTTCACCGTCACTTATCTCATAGGTCATATTGAATCCATAGACATCGAGAAGATTGTCCAAAACACGCACATGATTACCCTCCAATCGTTCCAAATGAAATTCAATCACAAGAAATGGCATATACGTCTTGAACCAACGGAATTGAAAAATATTCGCCTCATTGATCTCGTTAAGTAATGTCCCACCGTAATTTGAATTCTCCGATTCGTAATATGCATATTCAGTGAATTTGAGTCCAGTGTAGGCAAACAATTGCGTAAAATAGACAACAATCGATCTGTTCGTCGAAGGGATCTCGGATGCGTCAATGATCCATCGACAATTGATTGGCACTGAGAATGGACGTGGAAAATTTGGCGTTTGAATGATACCACGTTGCCCAACCAAATATTCATTGCAATCCGAGCTGCTGGAGATGATTTTCAACACGAGGCAAATGAGCAGTAGCGTCAATACAATGCCAGATGAGGTTGACCGCATTTTTTATCCGGTGCACCTGCAACAGAAGAATAAGAAACGAAAAAACATGAAAATTAGCTTTCGTCGGGTCATTTTTTTTTTTTTTTACGGGCAAAGTGTAATTGGGGGAAACCTCTTTGGGTTGCTTCCAAGCAGAGAGTGGAGGCTTTGCGTCATTTACTGCTTGAGAGGTCCTCTGGAGGAACAAGAGTTTCCTCTTTTTTTCTCTCTCTCTCTCCTTTTTTTATATTCCCTCTACAACTCTCCGTCACGGCGAATCGTCAAGGGAAACGATAGTGCCTTTTCACTGGCCAAATACTTTGGATCTTTCATTTCGTACTTATTTACAGGGGAATTGTCTTTGAAACTTGTGTTAATCTGATAATTTATTTACGCCATTCAATACCAAGGGATTTCTCTTTTGGAGACAAAGAATTTTTTTTTAATACCCTTTTATATTCTCTCAAGCTGATATGTTTCCCAAGCTTTCAACATTCTTCTCAATCGGAAATGTATTCTCTTTCAAATTTCACTTTTTTTTTTACGCACTGGAACTAGAATTTAAATAAAATAATAGCATTTTTCATATAATATAGTTCGATCCTTGGATCGCGTTTTGATTGGTTACACTTTACACGAGGGAAATTCCAACAAGTAATATTCAAACAAAAGAGAAAAAATCAACAGCAACAAAGAAATAAATTTCCGTACATTGGAAAACAAACTAGTTCTAATTAAAATTTGAAATTTCACACTTAAATTAACCATAAAATTGATTCATAACTTTTTTCCCATACAGCAGGGCTCGGATTGTGCGACTTTTTCGACTTTTTTCAACTTTTCTAAGGAAATGTGACTTTTTTCAACTTTTTTGTGAAAAAATGTGACTATAATCGACTTTTTCGAGTTTTTTTTAGTAAAATGCGACTGAAATTAAAAATTTTTTTTTTAAATTTAAAGGATAAAGTTTTAGTCAAAAAAATGTTCTGTTACATTTATTTACAAATTTCTTTCAAATTTTTCGAAAACATCAATAATTTCTTTTTTAAATAAATGTTTAATTATTATTTTTCCATAGGAATTAAAATTCTTCAAAAGATTCAAATTCAAACCTTTTTGAAATTAAACAACTTATAAAAAATTGTCATAAAACATGAAGAAATCGATCACTCCGAGTCTTTGGCTCGCCCGTGTGGAAAATGAAAATTGGTCCTAGCCAGGTCCTACCTATTTTGCCCTGTTAATAGCTTGGTCCTAGGTTGGCAGTGTAGGTTGGACCAACAATGGGTGGTGATGCGATTCTAGCCTGGTCCTAACTTGGGAGCCTAGTTAGGACCAGTTTATGGGTCCATTTTAGGACCTAGAAAGGACCATCTCAGACAGTATTTTCTATTTCATTATAATTTTAATTAGTTTATAATATTTGTTAAAGAAATAACCTAAATTATTAATAATAAGTATTAGTTTTAATTAATTATTATTTTTTTCAATTAAGTGATGACCAAAAGCGAATTCATAAATAATGTTAGTATATGTAGAGATTAATATATATTCCTCTAATATATACATTAAAAATTATAAAAAAAATTAGAAATTTGTTAATTAAATTATTTTACAGTATATATAATCATTAAATTGCATACTTATACGAATACAATGCAGAAAAATCGGAATAAACGCAAACCTAAGAAGTAAATAAAATCTAACGCACGCGGGAATCGAACTTACGACCTACGGACTACGAGACTAACGCCCTAACCACTATGCTAATGAAACTAGTTGAGATGAAAATTTTTATTGTCAGTGACTTGTGGACTTGCTTTTGATGATTCAATATAGTAATTATTGACACTAATACACGATAATAAATAAAAAAAATAGTTTAACAACAACAATAATAATAAAATAATATCCAAATATAAAAATTCAAAAATTAATATTTTTATATTATATCAAGAAAAAAAATATCTGTACATTTTCGTTAAAAACAGGTTTTTCATTGTTCTCAATCATTTTCAACATTAATTTCTTGGTCTAAAAAAAATATTCGTCTTTTGGACTTGGAAATTTTTCCTAATTAATTAAGCGGGTGATCCACTTTTTATAAAAATGTCAAAAAAATTTATGTTAAAAACACGTTTTTCATTATTCTAAATCATTTTAAGCATTAATATTTTGTTGCAAAAAATTTTTTAGACTTAGACTTAGAATTTTTTGCTAATGAAACTAGGAAGCCCAGGTAGGTCCTGGGTTGGACCTGGGTGGGTCAGCCCACATTCGAATTGCAATATCTCTTAGTGTTTAGCACCAACTTAAACGAAACTTAAAATCAGCGAACGAAATTAGAAATATATTTTACTAATGATAATTATATTGCAGTCTGTATCTGTTTAAATAAATAAATAAATTTTGCTGTTATATTAACTTTTGTAACAAATTACTTAAAAATTTGCAGTTTTTATCTAACTTCGCGATTATTACACTTGAGTAGTGAAATATGAAGATAATTTATAATTTTAACAATTCAGCATTTGTTTAAACAAAAAATTGTTGTTATTTATTAATTCTTAAGACAATAAAGCGTCTAGACACTTGTAGTCTTTTAAAATTTTGCAATTAACTAATCTGAGTATTTACTTATTGCAAAATTAGAAAAAACTGCTAGTTTCTAGGTTGATTGTGTAAAAAGTTAGTAAATAACAATTATTTGTTTAAACAATTGCTGAATTAATAAATTAATAAATTAACTTTATTTTATAGTATTTGTATAATTTTCTGATTTATGTCAAACAATAAATTGTTTAAACAAATATGATTATCAATTAATTTTATAAATATTAATTGAGAATATTTATCAATTTTTACATGTTTTTCATGTATCAATTTTGACACTTTATTTTCCTAAAAATTTTTCTAAGTCATAACTGGATCTCCTATCTAGTACCAAGTTAGGACCAGCCCAGGATATATAAAAAGGGGTTGCCAAGTTAGGTCCAAGCTAGGGCCAATAATCATTTTAGGCATAGCATGGTGATTTCTACACGGGCGGAGCAATCGATGTCTTCATGTTTTATAATAATTAAAGATGAACGAGTGATAAAATCATTATTTTATATTATAAAACTTTATAAAAAAAAAATTTTTTAATTATTTTTTATGAAAATAATTGAATTATTGGGCAGAAATTTATAAAACATTAGTAAGTAATTGAATTTTGCAGAAGAATGTTCACATTTACAAAGATAATTGAAATTTTGAGGAGAATTTAAAAAAAAATTTTTTAAATAATTGAATTTCTGTAAAGAATGTTCTTACTTTTGAAGATAATTGAATTTTGCAAAGAATTTTCTAAGATATAATTTGGAGAATTTTAGAAAAATTAAAATTATTACAGAAATTCAATTATTTTCAAAAAATGTTTTAAATTCTCGTCAAAATTTAAATTATTTTTAGAAAAAATTAAATTCTTCTCCGAAAATCAATTATTTTCAAAAATTTTAATAAAATTCTTGGCAAAATTTCAATTATTTTTAAAAACTTTCCTCAATTCAATAATTTTCAATATTTACTATTTTAAAAAAATTGTCCAAAAGAATTCAATTATTAAAAACAAATTTTGTTAAAATTCTACGAAAACTTTTAATTATTTTCATAAAATAATAAAAAATTTCACAGAAATTCAATTATTATAAAAAATTTTAATAAAATTCTTCGCAATAATTAAATTATTTTCATAAAATAATAATATAGAAGAATTTTAGATAAAAACACTAAAAAAATTAATTTTTAATAAGTAACAAATAATAAATTGCAGAAATTCAATTATTTACAAAAGTAATAAAATTCTTATTACAAATTCAATTATGTTCAAAATTTACAAAAATTCTCGACAAAATGCCAATTATCTTTATAAATAAAAAAATTTTTCTTCAAAATTAAATTATTTTCAAAAGTTTAAAAAAATTTTGTCAAAGTTTCAATTATTTTCAAAAATTTTCCTCATTTTAATTCAATTTATTTATTTATTTCTTCGCAATATTTCAATTATTTCCGTTAGAAATAAAATTTTTTACAGAGATTTAATTATTTTCATAAATATTAAAATTCTTTTTAGGAATTCAATTATTTTTATAAATAATAAAATTCTTCGCAAAGATAATTAAAATTTTGACAAGAATTTTATTAAAATTCTTTCAAAATAATTGAATTTTAGAGAAGAATTTTATTATTCACAAAGATAATTGAAATTTTGAACAGATTTTTTTTAAAAATGTATAATAGTAATTAAATTTTACAGAAGAATTTTGATACTTATAAATATAATTGAAATTTCGAGAAGAATTTAAAAAAAAAATTTTGAAAACAATTGAATTTCTGTAAAGAATTTTCTTACATTTTATGATAATTGAATTTTGCAAAGAATTTTTTTCAGAACTTCTGAAAATAATTAAATTTTTATGATGAATTTTATTATTTATGAAGATAATTAAAATTTTGACAAGAGATTTAAAAAAATTTTTTGAAAATAATTGAATTTCTGCGAAGAATTTTATTACTGTTGAAAATAATTGAATTTCTGGGATAAATTTTGTTATTTATAAAGATAATTGAAATTTTGACAAGAATTTTATTAAAATTTTTTTAAATAATTTAATTTCGGAGAAGAATTTTATTATTTATAAAAATTATTGACATTTTTAAGAAAATTTTGAAAAAAATGTTAAAAATACCTAATTAAAATTTTGCTTTAAATTTTATTGAATTTTTTAAAATTTTATTTTTGACAATTTCGTACGATATAATTTGAAGAATTTTAGAGAAATTACAATTGATTGTAGAAATTCAATTATTTTCAAAAGTAATAAAATTCTTCGCAAAAATTCAATTATGTTAAAAATTTTTTAAAAATTCTCATAAAAATTTCAATTATTTTTAGAAATAATTAAATTCTACTCCGAATTTGCAACTATTTTCTAAAATTCTAATAAAATTCTTGTCAAAATTTCAATTATCTTTAAAAATAATTAAATTATTCTT